CCTGAGACTTTTCAGTAATTCTGGCACAACTGAGTTTCAGCTTTAAGAAACATTCATTTTCATTCAAATTACTTAAACATTTCTTGGGCAAAGTCATTACTTTGTTTCACAGAGCCCAGCGATAAGGTCAGATCGATTGAGCCATTTGTATTGAGGGGGCCACAGATTTTTACTTTTAGAAAATACAATAGGTTAACTACTGCCATGATAATAGTGCATAACTTTTAGTGGCATAATTATTAAAATTTTATAGGAAAAAAATACCATTAATGTGAATAGGAAAAAATCATGGCAATAAAATGAGTCACTAAGCACTGAGGAAATACAGACTTACTTCCCTTTGCTTACATTTTTAAATGGAAAGTTTTATTACTGTACAATAATCTCATTATTTTATTTCAAAATCAAGTTGAATAGTGGAATACCTTTTTGTTGTTGCATTTTTTTCAGTATTTCTCTTACCGCATTTGTCTAGTGCCACCTTTTGGCCAAGTGGCTAATTAAAGATAAAAACTGCTGGTTAGTTTGAGTTTGGTGTTTTAATCTTGAATTATGAACCACAAGTGCATAATGAGAGAATGCCATGAGTGTTTATATTTTGTTAAATGGTTTTAGTTTTATGCCTTGTATGTACAATTCATTTTTATTCTAGCAATGATAGTCCTATGATGCAGTGATTAAACACATTGATCCCACAGAGAGATTATTTGGGTTGAAATCCCAGCTCCACAAGTTAAAGCTCTGAACTTTGGAAAACTTATTTAATTTCTCAATTTTATTTTCTGTAAAATAGACACAATAGTTGTGAGGATTGAAAGAAATATATGTATACACATACACGTATATCCACACATATGTGTATGCACATATGTGTATATGTATAACTTTACATATATACATATATAACTTTACATACATAAATACCGTATATATTTATATATAAGGTTATATATATAAATTTATATTATTATTAGCAAACATAAAATTAATCATCATTATTTGTTGAATGCTTAGTATGTGCCAGGCAGCAATCTGAGGACTTTATACACCTGACAGTTATAGCCACTGAAGGAGTTATTCCTGTGTTAGAATGCGGTAAAGTGAGGTTCAGGGAATTTAAGAAATTTGCTCAATGTGATATAATTTGTCATTAGCAAAACTGGAATGTAAGGGCAGCTACTTCTCCAAAGCACACACATTGAACAATTACCGTATACTTTCTATTTGGGCACGTCATTGATTATTTCTTATGTACTTTTTCTGTAGTAATAAAAATTCAGTTTATTATCAGATACAACCGCAAAAACTAGAAGCCCAAATTAAAAAATATATTCCAATCCTTTTAATGAACTTTTAAACAGTTCTTTAATGTGATAATATAAATGTTAAAAATGTAATATAATTGCATTATTAATTTCACTATATATGTAATGTCAAATTATTGCAAAATAAGCAAAAACAGGACCTTCATAAATACTATTTATAATTATTTTTCAGAAAACATTTCTGCCATAACTACTATAATTCACTGATCTTTAAAATTAGATTAGTATAAAGAGACTTAAGCATTGAGTTTTCAAAAATATTTAGTATATGTTTCTCTCCCAAAGATCAAACTGCCTAAACAGATGTTTTAGTATATTTCACTATTATGAGAACTTAATAATTGATTAACATCAAAGTGTTGTTTCTTAATCTTTCAAAATACAAACTACTTCCAGGCGAATTGAGTGCCTTACTCTAGCAGTATCCAGAAAATTAAAAAATAGGAGCAAAGTTTTTTGTGTCTTTTTTAAATTTAGTTTAAAATTCTCAAAAATATTGTCACCTGAAATTATTATTATGAGGAACCAGGACTCAGTGGTTCAATAAGGTATTATTTTGCTCCCTCTTGTGGCTGATGTAGGAACCGAATTTAATACTATTTTTACAGTATTTTGAAAGATAGAAAAACAACTTTAACTTTCCAGATTTCCGTGCTGTTTGGAGAATTTCTTGGTCATAATCATTATCACAGGTACCATAAATTATGGGAAAAAATGGTGTGTGTTCTATATTCGGTATTTAAAGAAACACGTCAAAAAAGAATTTCCAATGCCAGGTTGATCTGAGGAGCTTTATTAACAGCCCTTTAAAGTCTCAAACTCCTCACTTCTGAAAGAGAACACATGGGAATAAGAAAGGCTGGGTACTCAGCTTCATCTAGAATTCTTATTCTTGTTTCTGTGGGCAAGAATGGTTGGCCTGAAGCAGTAACGGGATAAGGGGAGGGTAATGCAGGGGCTCAGTGTTGAAAAGAGTGTGTAAAGTAAGAGTTAAAAGAAGGTTATAATCCAGTGTTTAAGTGAATTTATTATTTTTAATAGATATTCTATTGCTTATATTAACTTTAATTTCTTCCCTCCAAGGCCACAACACCATACAGACATATGATTTTCCATTCAAACATTTTATCTATGTGCGCATTTTCTATACATACATACCTGCAATAAAGTTTCATTTATAAATTAAGCACAGTGAAATGTTAACAACAACAAAATAAAAGAATTATAACAATATATTATAATAAAAGTTATGTGAATGTGGCATTATTAAGTAAAATGAGGGCTACTTGCACAAGCACATGGATGCCTCCGTAGTCGATTGGATAACCGAGACAGCTACTGCGTGATTAACAGGCATGTGGCACATACAGCGTGGATATGCTGCACAAAGGGGTGATTCACTTTCTGGATGGAATAGAGGGAGTAAACAGGAGATTTCATGTTACTCAGAATGGTGTACAATTTAAAACTTATGAATTGTTTATTTCTGGAATTTCCCATTTAATATTTTTGAGCCATGGTTGACCACGACCACGGGTAACTGAAACCTTGGAAAGTAAAACCATGGATAAGAGGCACTACTCCAGTTTGCAGCTGAGGAGAGTGACCTCAAAAATCCAACATGTTGTTACCTGAGCAATAGAGAACCTCTTAGGTAATGGAATAATTCCCTCATCTTTGCTATCTTTCTCTAATTTTATAGTTTAAAAAAATCCAAAGAACTGAGTAGTTCAAGAAATCGTTCTCTTTTACTATAGGTCATGTGCATTTTAGAAGCCTTTGGACATGCTAAGACAACTCTTAATGACCTGTCCAGCTGCTTCATAAAGTATTTTGAACTGCAATTCTGCGAGAGGAAAAAACAGTTAACCGGAGGTAAGTTTAAAATTTTCAAAGGGAGATCTCACTTGCTGCCAGAAGAGGGCAGAGGGACACCAAGCATGTCTGTAACAGTGACTCTTCTGCGGCCTCTGGGTGGGTGTGCCTCTGGGTGCGCCTTGTGCATGAGCCTGGACATACCTGAGACGTCAGGTTATGAGTTCTAAAATTACTTTGAATTTAAAAAGTACTTTGAAATGCAAGGTGAACTTTTTAAGATGATTATTGTATAAACTATATAATATGGAACCAAACCAAAAGGAGCTGAAATAAATCATATTTGCTGAAAATAGAAATGAACTCAAATACTCAACTAAAATAAATTATAACTTGTGTAGGTAATTTCTTCACACAACACACACTAAAATCTACTTTAACCAAAATGGAATCTATACTTTTTTAAATGATTAAATTAAAACAAATTGAAACATAAAAATAATTACTCAACTAAACCCAAAGAGAACTGTTTCTTATTTGGTTCAAATATTTACTGTATACTTTATGAAAACTTCCTGTTTCAAATTCAGCTCATTTAGAATTCACTTAGAATTTTACATCTTTCTAGTTAAAACAGATTATCCATGCAAATGAATAATATAAGTATGATTGCAGGTGGAATGCCTAGTCTATTTAGAGGAATCAGCTATTTTACAAAACTTTCCTAATAGCTGTTAGCACTCAAACATTTGCTAATTTTAATGAGTTTTGAAAGATATCAATTTTATTTGGTGTTTTCAAATTGCTCTATTTTCCCTTCAGGAAATAAAAGTTAGTTTTGACCATAGTTTAGAAACAAAAATCTGTATTTTGCAGTAAGTGTATGTCAAAATCAAATGTTTACTAAGTGAAATTTGGTTTAAAAATGAATAACGGGGGAAAAAATGATAATTTTAGATGTTGAGATTAGAGGCTTAAGTTGTTCAATAGGAAAGTGTGTTTGTTTGTTTTGAATCCATGGCTAAGAGCGCTCTTTGAAGATCTATTTTGGGAAGGCCTTAGAGGAGAAATGTCTTGAGGCACAAATGTCTTTACGTGTTGGTTTTATGATAGCCCAGTGGGACTGTCCCTCCAAGCAAAAGGCACAGCATGAATACTTTGTGGCCGTAATTTTCCCCTGAGCTTTCAGTGACCAGTGGTTGGAGCCAAAGACGTGAAGAGGGCAGGAAGATCCAGAAGCTCTGTGTTTCTACCCTTTGTCACTCCAGGGTGTGACCCAAAGATTAGCACTATGGGCATAAGATGGAGCTTGTTAGAATGTAGCCTCTCAGGCCCAGCCACAGGCCTGAGAAATCCCTGGTCTGGGCATCCCTTGCATGAGTTTCTTCCCCCCTTTCCATTTGATGCTCCCTTTACTAAGGTCAAGAGACAATACCTAGCTCTGAGGTTCTTATCCATTACTAACTTCGTTTACTATTTTTTCTGGATAGAATTTAATGTCTTCTTCTCCAGGAATGTTAATTTAGAAAATAATTGTGTGCACATATAAAAAAACCAGAAAACGCTGCAGCGAGCACTTCGGCATGGAGCCTCCTGTTAATCAGCGGTCTCCCTGAGCGTGCAGTGCAGGCAGCTTCAGCATAATCAGACCCACAGATGCCTCTCACGCAGCTGCTGCAGGCGGCACACTGACACAGCGATGATAAATATTCATCACGATGAACCCGGGGCTCTGCAGGATTCTCAGATGCCCTCAGAATCGTTACGGAGCGATGAGCGTGGTGCACACTTGAGCTCATTCCCCCCTTAGGAATACAGCCCCCAGGCTTCCGTGTCGGCGGCACCCCGCCTTCCTCCACTTCCCATGCTGGCTTTCTACTCCCCGTGTGCTCCGAAGTAGGACCCTTAATTCCCTTCCCTGCGCCTCTCTTTGTTGGGTAGTTTCTTCCTGTGCTCTTTAAAAAAATTCTGGCAAAATAATTTTGTGGTGGTTTTCATATATAAATTTTAAGAATGAAACAACTGCTAAGAAATAAACAAGCAAATAAAGCCAGTGCTAACTGAGGCTACATTAACAGAGGAGAGTGCTTAGAACGTAAGAGGTCAGACTGGGAGTTCAGTTGTTTCCCAGATTTAAGAGGAAAAAATAAAGAATGCATCCAGAGAATGTTTATCAGGAGAGTAAAAATGGAAGGGCTGTTTGTCTGGAGTGAGCTTGGAAGAAACTGAACACATTTATATTGAAAAGGAAAAGACTCAGGGAAACATGACAGGTGTCTTCAATGATCCACTACCTTGGAAAAGGTTGTGAGTACACGGATGTATTAAGTATACTCTAAAAAGTTGGTAAATGCTCCAGAGGAGGAATACTTTCACTTAATCACAAGAAGTTTCCACCTTCCTTCCTCATGATTGTCAGTGCGTTCCCACCCGGACGCCGGCGCCTTCTAAGATGGAAAAGCTGACAGCTGTGCTCAAAATAGCCTGACCCGAGCTGGGACATCTGGGCTAGGTTATCCTGAAGACGCTGCCCACTGCCCCTCAGTCTCTAAGTCCAAATACCACGGGCTCTGCTAACTGCTGATCGATGCTCTGCTGTCCAGCCGAGTGACTTGACGGCAGTTACTGTCCCCAGCAGTTACCGAGCCAGCGGAGTCGGTAGAGAATGTGATGTAGTGGGTGCTGTCCGAGGGCTATAGGCCTGTGAGTCCCTTGAAGGCCCAGCTCGTCTGCCCGGGCTTAGAGCGGGCACGCAGTAGGGATCCGCTGGGTTAATGGATCTATGGAATGGCTTTGTAAGGGGCAATAAAGCAACGCAGTCATTATTCAGTTCAGGGAGGAAATTGCGAAAAACCATCACGAACTCATTCATGCCAACGAAAGACACATTACCGAGAGTGTGAAACAGATAAAGTTATCAATAATTAACTCTGGATTAGTTTTTAATTCAGAGCCAAGTTTTTTTCATAATTAGAGTCTGTGCCTGCTAAGAATAGAACTATTTCCCACTTTCTTTGAGCACTTTATCACGTTGGAGTGGGCAGAGCAGAGTGTGCCAAAGGGTCCACAGAGGGAAGGAAACCCAGAATCCACACGCAAAACGTGAAGAATAGTTGGCTTCTTATCTTTTCTGTGCTCTGTAGACACCTACAAGTATTTAAATGGAAAATGAAATTTACTAACATTTGGAAATGTTTACCAATAAATATGCCAAGGTAATGCTATCTACTTGAGAAACTTAAACCTTAGAGTTAACAGAAATCAGATGAAAAATATATTAAGGCTTTTGCCTTGTCTTTTTTCAAATCTTGATTTTAAAAACAAGCCAGTAAGCAGTCTTTATTTTTATTATTGTCATCCGTTATCCTTAGTATTATACTCTCAATTGGACTTCGTTTTAAAAGTTTCAGAGAGCTTTAATTGATTTTACCTCCTTTGAAAAACAGCATATTTTATTGCAAACGGCCTGGACTTTAGAGATAAGTCTCTTGGGTTTAAATGTAGAAAAGGTTTGCAACAGAACTTAAATTAGTAGTGTTTGAAAAGCACCCAGCACAGTGCCTGGAATACAGTAGGGACTCTAAATGGGGTTTCTCCCGTTTGGAGTACACAGGGAACCTGGTACCTTCGTATCTTTTGATCCTCGGGGAAAGAGAAAGTAAAGCGGGACGTGGAGATTGGCAATGTCAGATGCAGGGCTAGTTCCCATACTTATCACTCCTAGTTGAAGCACCTTTCATTCATACCACCACTAGCATTAATGATCATCAATAATGAAGCCAACAGAAATGCCTAAGTGTGAAATAGACTATTTGGCTATATTAATTAATCGATAGTATGCCTTTGGTGATTGCTAATTGAAGGCCTGATGGGACTTTCTGGGAACAGGTCATGATTAATAATTAGATGAGTAGAGCAGGGTGAGGGTTGGTGCTGGAAATTTCTGGAAGTCAAAGGGGCAGTGAAGGCAAGCATTTGTCTTTCTTGAAAGAGAGGGAAGTTTATACACTCTACTTTATTTCATACTGAACAAAAATCAGAGCTCTATAAAATAATTTTACTACATATTATGTTACATAAAATCTGCAAACGTATATATTTTACAGTACCAAAATTTTTTGAAAGACTTGTATTCTTATGTAGGTTACTGAAAGGATACAGGCTCACAAATATATAGTCAAGAATATTCCTGACATAAAAATCTGAAATGGAAATTTGAATTTTTGGTTGTTTAATGTTTTCTTCCATCTAAAAGCTCTTTCAAGATACATATTTTTTAAAATCCTACTGATTAGAATCCTGCTAATCCACAGCAATTTTATTCACTGCTGGAGATGTGCTAACTAGGATGATTACTAATTACACTGTTTTTGAATTTAGTTGAGAGGTATTGAAGTCACTGTTTGATGTGGAGTTTGATTAGGTCTGAATGGGGCTTTAAATTAGGCTTGTATGTTGGCTGGGACAGGTGGGTGTAAGGGTCAACCCTGTCTCTGAATATAGAAGCGTAATGATCAGAAGGCCACCACTCAGCCCCCTATTCTCACTTGATGTTTCTTTAGTTGATGACTAGACAGTAACAGAAGGGAACTGCTAGGGCAGCTTATTTACCTATGTGCAGAGATTTTTAAAAATAATTCTCTTGATCAGTTAGTTACTTCATGGTTAATATTATTAATATTAAATGGAACATTTTCAGCAAATAATATACTTAGGAATGCAACAAAGGAAAGAAAATTTAATAATTGAGACCTCAACTTGAAATTACCAGTCACCTGACTAAATACACATGGAGAAATGGAAAAGAAACTACACCACCACATCCTAATTTTAAACTCATTAATTAAAGGGGTATTCTGAAAGTGCCTTTCTTTAAGCACTTTTCTAAAGGGTGTTTAATACTATTTTTCTTAATAATGTTTATTAATTGTGAGATATTTTAAACATGGATAATCATTCTGTCTGGCTAAACTGACCACTGATGGTGTTTCTAACAGGCACAGCATTGTAGCAGTGGTTCCATTTGTTCAAGTAGATTTGCTGTGTAAAACCCAAGTTGAGAGACCCCACAGTTTTGCTTTTAGAGACTGGACTCTAGAATTCTAAATTATTAGCAGATTCATTGCCCAACTTAAAGACTTACTATGCAGCTACTGTAATCAAGACAGTGTGGTATTTTTGAAAGAAGAGGCAAACTAATCAATGAAAAAGAAGGAGAGCACAGAAATAGACCCACGTAAACATAGTTAACTTACCTTTATCCAAAGGGCAAAGGCAGTTCAAAGGAGAAAGGATAGTCTTTTAAACAAATAATGCTGGAACAACAGGATATTCACGTGCAAAGAAAAATGAATGCAGACACCAACATGTCGCAGAAATAACTCAAATATATCATAAATCTAAATGTAAAAACAAAACTATAAAACTTTAAGAGACAATGTTGGAGAAATGCTAGGCAACCTTGGGTTTGACAGTGACTTTTTAGATACAATCCATGAAAGAAATCATTGATAAGCTGGACTTCATTAAAATTGAAAATTTCTTTTCTGTGAAAGACACTGTTAAGAGAATGAAACAATAAGCCACAGGCTTGGAAAATATTTGCAAAAGACATATCTGATTAAAAAAAAAAGAGACTTATCTAAAGTGTACAAAGAGCTCTTAATACTCAACAGTAAGAAAACAAGCAACCCAATTTAAAATATGGACAAAATATCTCAACAGACGCCTCACCAAAGAAGGAACATAAATGAGAAATAAGCATATGAAGAGAGGCTCCACATGATATGTTGTCTAAGAAGTGCTAGTTAAAACAACAGTAAAATACCACTGCACGCTTGTCAGAATGGCTAAAATCTAAAACCCTAATAACACCGAATACTGGCAATTGAAAGAAGTCAATCTAAAAAAAAATGTTTATTGTATATGATTCCAACTATGTGACATTTTGGAAAAGGTTTTTGTAACTATGGAAGCAGTAAAAATATCAGTGGTTGCCAGCGATTAGGTCAGAGGAGGGATGAGTAGGTAGGCCACCGGAGATTTTTAGGGCAGTGAATGCATTCTGTATGATACTGTGATAGTTGGTGCATGACATTATGGATTTATCAAAACCCATAGAATGTGTAACACACAGAGTGAACAGAATGTAAATTATGAACTTGAGTTACTAATAACGTGTCAGTGTATCCATGTTAATGAGTGTTCCACACTAACACAAGATGTTAATAATAGGGGAAAGAGTATGTTGGAGAGGGACAAGACAGGGTATAATGGAACTCTCATTATTTTCTGCTTGATTTTTCTGGCCCTTAAAAATTGGTCTAAAAAATAAAGCCTATTAATATTGTTTAGAAAAGGTCTGTGGTTGAAAAGAAGCTGTATTCTTATCTTTGCAATTATTTAATATTCGTAAATTTATGGAAATGAAACTAATAATGCCATTTGACAGAATCACTTTTGTTTTCTTAACCAGCCAGAGTTTATACATATATGCTAGAGAAATCCAGACTCGTTTCACAGCCTCTTGGCCAGAGCAATTTTCTGATCTTCTACGTGTTGATGGATGGGCTCTCTGCTGAGGAAAAATATGGACTTCACCTGAATAATTTATGTGCACACCGGTAAGTAACTATGTGTTTTTCTGTGTAGTAGTTTTGCCTTCAAATTTTGATTGCATTTGAGCAATCTCAAATTTTCTTTTTATTTTTTTCAGAGAATAAATGTGACTAGAAGTTTAATTGGATACTGTTAGGTTAGCTCCATCGGTATAACAGGGTATAATCATTTATTGCATGTTTAGGTGAAGCTTTGGGTGTGTGCGTTCACTTATGATTCTACTGTTCTAGTTTTCAGCTAAAAGTAAAAGAGTGTGCATTTATAACTTTCATATTCCTTTTAAGTATTTTGGGTATAACATTTGTTATGCATTCCTAATCTTTGGTAGTCTTTTGAAATAATGGGAACTATTTGGGGGGCAATTATTATTCATTAATAACAGATGAGGTTATATAATGGCCTAAGAACAACAGAAACTCGGAGGCCGGTTTCTGCACTGGAGGCAGGAAGCATTTGTTAAAATGAGGGTGCATCGGCCGTAGGTTGGCCGTGGGGGTGAGGGGGTCATAGAGAGGGAGCTGAGGAATGGGGGCATTTCTGCTGCTACATGACTCGATGTGTCTCCCCAGAAGGATTGGTCTAGATTTGAATCCAGATGAGGCCGAGACAATCAGGAGAGTGAACCCCAACCAGAAGTGGGGGGAGAGGGGAGAAAGAGGCAGCTGGATGTGCTGATCCAAACTCAGTAGAAAAGTGGTGCCGGGCACGGAAGAACTAGGCTCTGAAGAGATAACAGTTGATTTCCCATATCTTTTAACACCTGATTTATAATGTATAGGACATTTAGGGGGGTTTGAGAAGAATAGTGTGAGTTTTCATAATTTTATGAGAAGTTTGGCGAGAAAACTTAAAGAATGCGTGGGGAGGGGGGAGCAGGACCCAAGGACCCATCAGGAGGGTTCAGAGGTGAAGAAGTTGACTCCACAGTAAAGCAGAGATGCCAAGTGCAAGTGAGAGGGATTGTTCAGGGCTGTGGGGTTTAAATGGGACTGAACTCCTAGAACTGGATGGCAAAGCTACAGGACAACTCTGTCTGGCTGTTGCTGTGAGTAGAATAGTGACGGGACCTAAAGCCAGGGCAAGAGAATGAATTGGTTGTGTCCTAATGTACAGTGACGTTACCAATTACTCATTCAGTTTCTTTGAAAATGTTGCATCCAGTAGCATACATAGTTTGTCATTTTGAAGAGAGGAAAAGTAGTCCAGGGGTTAAGGCCTTGTTGAAATTGTGTTTTATTTAAAGTGAAATACTCTTTTGGGGTGTATCTCTCCCCAAACAACAAATTCAGAAGGTAAAGAAAATGCTAATATTGAAGCAAAATATCCCAGAGTTTAGTGACTTAAAAAAAAAAAGATTCGAAGCTTCTAGGGCTCCTAGAAATGCCTTTATCCAATTCCCTCATTTCATAAAAGAGGAAATCAGATGCAGACCACGCAGAGGCCTGTACTGAAATGAATATATTCTACATCAGCAGTATTGAAAAGACCCATTGCCTGGAATCAACTTTTTTTATTTCTACACTGTTTCTGATAGGACATGTCCCTGGGAGGAAAAGCATCAGATTGGGAACCAGGGGCTAGCTATTCAGGGGTCAGCCGTGAGGAAGAAAAGTCTTGGATTACTGTGTTCCTAATCTTTCTTACAAGCAAAAATGCAAAGCTTATAGCAGATCGCTGGTTCAGAGGGTGCACCTGGTGTGTTTATGTGTGTGCGCGTGCACGGGTGTGCGCTGGGCAATATGGACATACAGCACTGAAGAAAAAAAGTGGTAATCTAATCTGCCATTCAGAGAAACAATTTAACTTCTTGACCTGTGGTGTAGACTGGTTTTTTTGAAGTGCGTGGATGTGTGGGAGAAAACAAGCATTTCTTTATTGAGCTCCAGTTCTAACATCCATTTCTCTTTGCAGAAGAGTTTGGAATCACTTAGGCTATTTAGAAAGTCAAACAGTTAGGAGTTGCTTTGTGAGAAGCTCCAACAGGAAAGAACTCAGCAAAATAATGAATAATTCAGTTCCCTTGAACAAAGAGGTTATTTTATTAAAATGTATTATAAATGTCTAATGGGCACAAAACAGCATTCCTCAATAAAAATATACACCACCACTCCAGATTCATAAAGTATCAGTTGGAACATTTGTGCAATGAGAATTCCACAAGCAAAATATTCTTTAATGATAAAGCAGGCTCCTTTGAAAATTATAATACACGATATATCACACTATTTTTATGATTTATGTTATGTGGGTCTTCTCACAGAGGGTACAATATCAGTGTATTTTCTTACAGTTTGGTGCTACTAAGGTTCAGTTGAGGAATTTGAGTTGAGCTCTGATCTTTTATTTAGTAATTATGTATATGAAGTACCATAATTTTGGAAATTGGCTTGTTTACAATCAGTAGTATAAATGTGAACTTGCTAACTTTCAAATCTTTCACAAGTTGATGATTCTTCTGCATCTTCTTAAAATTGATACACACAGGTAAAGTGTATCACTATATGTACACATACGCCTAAATACATACACATGTGTATATATAAACACTATTATTAAGAGTGCTATCATTATCACGTCTACCTCTCTGATTTTCTTTAAAAAGGTGTTGACATATATGTTAAATAGGACCAACCAGCCCCGACATTACTACCTGAAATCCCTTTGCTTATTCAGTACTCATGCCACAGTACAGCCTGTCGTGAAATTTTGTTAATGTGTGTTGAGTCTTAAACACTATAAGAACTGAAAGCCTGGTTTCTCCAAATGCAGCTTTTCTTTATTAAAAGCAACTCATTACTTACATGAAACAAACATGTCACTAACTGTGAACTGAAGATAACTCAATATTTATCCTACATGTTCTTATGTGATTAGAACTGCAGAGAGAAGAAAAGATTGCTGTAATTAATGCTTTATAAATAGAGCTGGATATTTTGTAACTTTAAGTCTGTTTTTGGAACTAAAAGTTTTCAAAGTATGACATGAAAATTTATGGAGATTTACTTCGGCGCTATGGCACCGGAAAAAACTATTCTGTCTGTAAAACTGGGACATTAGAACAAGCAGAAAGCAGTGTTGTTCAACTCTAGAATATAAATGGAACAGGTACAGACATCCGCTCCTGTACCCTAACTGCATGGAAGCAATAATTATAACACTTTGCATAGAACCTTCCTATACAGATTGTTAAAACAAGAAGGGAAAAAGTCTCTAGACCTGTACCATTTTGAGCAGTGGCAAAATGTTGCTTTATTGATAATTTCCACTAGATGGTGCACTCTCTACAACCTCAGACAGGAGCAAAGTGGGGGGGAGCTCATCTCTAAAGGTTTCTGTTTTATTTATGATCCTTCCTGTGATTTACTTTTGCTTTATACAGCTATTTGTTTTTCAAGTTCTGTTTCAATTTTTGTATGGAATACTAACATTACATCTGAGGAATAAGTAAGGTTTATGTTTGTGGGAATTGAGCTTCAAAGAAAGGTAGAAATAGTAATTAATTATCTTCAACCTCCTTTTAAACAGCTTTTATGGGTTTAGTCCCAAGACAGTTGGGCTCCAGAATCCAAAGAAGTTATTCCTAATCTCCCTTCATATTGATTAATGATGGAAATGATTGTGGTGCCACATAATAGCATTTTCAGGAAAGGTCAGGTTTTGAATTATAAACGGAAAGCTAGCAATCGTTTGACTCAGGGCGTGTGACCTGTTTCTAACCTTGTGTGTTGGTGAGGAAACTCTGACTCACGGAGGGTCGGGACATGTGACTGCCGCCGGAGCGCACCTGTCAGCGCGCTGCCGCGAACTCCCCGCGCAAGTTCAGCTTTGGCCAAGGGTTATTGTTCACCTGGAACTGGACCTGAGGAAGTCTCACATAATTTTTTTTTAAAAACGTAAGGATAAACTTAAATATTATTTGAGGATGATTCTTCACAATTTTGTGAAATAATAAAAGATTGAATTGGCTACACATGTTAGGCAAGCAAAGCTTGATGGTGCTCCTAAGACAAAGGTTAGAGACAGGAGGTATTAGAATCTATGCCTAACAGACTCATTAGTTATCTAAATGGTAATCACAATTATAATATATACAGTGTATGGAGCACTTAGCATAAGCCAGACCCTGTCCTCGTGCCCCTGTCTGGCTGAATCTTCACCTGTAACTAAGCAGAGGGTGCAGCACCTCACCTGCATCACACAGAACAGGACGTGAAGGTGAAGGTGAAGGTCAACCAGGAGCCAGGTTTGAATCCAGGTGCTGCTGACCCTTAACCTCAACCCTGTATTGCCTCCGCAGCAGTGTTGCGCAGAAAACAGCAGCCACTCCCTCCACATCCTTGTGTCAAGGCTATTTTTTTTTAAAGAAAATGGAAGGGAAAGCACTAAGTCAACATCTGTGCTTAATGAAATTTAAAATTGGTTAAACAAAAGTAACTTAGGACTTTCTGAAGTTGCTATCTGTACCATAAAAATAAATTTTGAGTCATTTCTTTATTTGGTAGTGTAATAAAAGTTTTGAAACTACAAGAGCTTGCATTACTCTAGCTGAAGGTTATAATACTGAAAATATAGAAAGGGTTGGATCATCTCGGGCAATGGCAGGTAAATTTCACTTGCAAAAAAGCCATCAGGAGGGAGTCAGGGTCAGTGGCTTTCTTCCTTCCTTCCATTCTTGAAGAGAAGAGAGAGAAGAGAGAGGAAAGAAAAAACACACGGATATCAGGGACCACGCTCTGCCTCTTTAGTTAGTCTTCAAAACCCTACAGTAGAATTATTGGTATCCTAAACTGTATTTATAATAAACCTGAAGCACAAATATGTAACCTACTCAATGATATTTAGTAAATCAAAGACCCAGACTCCAAACTCAAGTGTGAGCGGCTTCAAATTTTCTGTTCACCAGAACTCTGTGATTGCTGGTGTCAGATACCCAACTCCAACGCACTTAGGAAGAGAAGGATTGATACGTTCGCCAAACTGGAGAAGACAGAGTAGTGCTTGCCGG